GCGTGAGCGTGTTAGGATTGAATGGAGACGAATGGTTTTTGGGATCTGACGAGCTGTTGGAGTGTGAGCAGGGTACTATTACACTACTCACACTTGAAGGGATTCAAGGAAACCGCTTAGCCGGACTTGAATCCTGGAAATGGGAAGTACAATACCTGCACTTTACAGGAGGGGTTTGGGAAATTGGCAGTTTGGAGGCACGTCTAAATTGTTGTATCTGAGCGACTCTGCAAAGACAGTGATTATGTATGAGTGATGATGAAAGTGTTGAATGACGATCAAAAGTTTTTTTTTTTATGGGGGAGAGGGTACCCTACCTGGTGGAAATAAAAAAAGGCCGACGTGTTAATTATATATTATATTACATATATATATATATATATATATACATATATATATATATATATATATATATATATATATAATATATAAAAAAATTTTATAAAAATATTATATATATATATTATATATATATATAATATATAAACTTTATTTGAAACCAAAAATATATTAACAGAGATACACTTTTAGGGATTAATGTATTTTTGACTGGTGGTTTACCGGAGACTTGCAGCCTTAATGATCTTCTTGTAGTTGATGCTCATTAAGCCTCATCAACAAGCAGTTGCTAAATATTCACCAGAATGTTTCATAATGATTCCTCTGCCGTAGTTTCTACTGAAGATTTTAGGTGAATTAGCAGGTTTAAGAGTTATCATCTGCACGAGGATTATATCGGCTACACCTGACCACAACCCATCATCATTGCCGTGGTTCTTAAAATTGGGATTAAAGTAAGACATACTTGTGTTTACATTGACAGGTACAAACTTTCGTTGCATTTACCCTCATTGCTGTATTAGGTGTTTGGATTATTTGGTTGAAGGCCTGTCGGCTGGATGATGGTCATTTTTAAGGCTGCAAAGGAACTTTAATACCTAAAATAGGGATTAAAGTAAACTTTCTCTCTATATATATATTGAGAGATGCACTTCAGGTATATACACTGAGAGATACACACCTCTCAGGTTATATAAATTAGGAGATACACATATCTGAGGTTAAATGCATTTAGAGATAAATACCTCTCATGATATGTACATCGAGAGATACACTGAGATATATATGCCTCCTAGGGTATAAATACTGAGAGGTACATACTCTCAGGGTATGTACAATTGAAATGCACACCCTCAAGGATAAACATAAGAAATACACACTCTCAGGGTATTATACTAGAGAGACACTCTCAGGCTATAAACTGAGATTACACACCTCTCAGAGTAAAACCATACCCCGGCCGGGATTGAACCGGGTCATAGAGTCTCAAAACTCCAGCCCGTCGCGTTAGCCACTAGACCAGCTAGCCAAATAAGATTCATCCAACTAGGTATATTTCTACACCATAGGAAAGTTAGCACAGGCACCTCTGTGACCACAAATGCAAGTTTTTACAGACGAATCTCCACTGGTTAGTGGCTAACGCGACGGGCTGAGTTTTGAGACTCTATGACGCGGGTTCATCCGCGGGGTAAGGTTTATTTGCAATCGTGTCATTACGATTTCTTGAGTCATCTCTCAGGGTATATATACTGAGAGATACACACCTCTCAGAGTATATATACTGAGAGATACACACCTCTCAGGGTATATACACTGAGAGATACACACCTCTCAGCGTATATATACCGAGAGATACACACTTCCTAGGGTATATACACTGAGAGATACACACCTCTCATGTTATATACACTGAGAGATACACACCTCTCAGGGTATATACATTTACAGATACAAACCTCTCAGAGTATATACACTGACAGATACAAATCTCTCAGGGTATATACACTGACAGATACAACCTCTCAGGGTATATACACTGACAGATACAAACCTCTCAGGGTATATACACTAACAGATACAAACCTCTCAGGGTATATACACTAACAGATACAAACCTCTCAGGGTATATACACTGACAGATACAAACCTCTCAGGGTATATACACTAACAGATACAAACCTCTCAAGGTATATACACTAACAGATACAAACCTCTCAGGGCACATACACTGAGCCCTCCTACAGAACATATAGCACAAGGCGAGAAAAAATTTTGATTCATAATGGAAGAGTTGGTCTCGACTTAACGCAGCATCACATAAGAGACGGACCAGATGATGACATCTGAGGCGGCGTCACGTGCACGGTGAGGCCAGCCAAGCGTTGACCTGCTGTCAGAGATCCCAGGCCTGAAATATTGGCTTCAGGAGCGAATATGGTGATCGCGTTTGGTCGTCACTGTCTAGGTAAGATCTTGAAGCTCGGGTGGGTTTGTATGAGATTTGTTTCCTAAGATCTATACATTTGAAGCTGCACTGGGAACTGTGAGTGGTTTTTAACAAATGTCCAATAAATTTTGCATATTTTTGGGAAAAAATCATTAATTTATAATGAAAGATAATAAATATATTTACAGAGAAAGATCGTAGTCAGCGGGAGTCGAACTTCTGACTGCGATCGTTCTTTATATGTCCGCTTGTTTCTGCGTGGTGCATTGATGTATATATAATCGCGAATAAGCGATGCATGATGCAAAACAACACCACAAGGGGAGTTTATTGATAGCTCTAGGCCTTTCGTGATACAATCAACACTTCATCAGGAGCTTGCAATGTTAAGAAATGAGCAGGAATCCAAGCAGATTAGTTCATGCAGAGAGACTTTGCCAAGTGTTAAGCTGAATGAGCAGAATAGAGATTAGTTCAGGGACTTTGGATAGAGTACTGTGTACTCTGAGGCAGGTTCGAATCCTGCTGTTGGCTGAAGGATAATGTTTGCGAATAATTTCGTCCGTTTGCGAATCCGAGATTTTATTTATTTTTTATATGTAATTAAAAAAAACAGCTAAATATTATAAACAGAAAAACAAGAGAAAATTTTTCCGGGGAGTTAAAAATAGTGGAAAAGTTCAACGTTCAAGCGAGCAGATCTAACTGATGCTCCACGTTCAGTGATTCTGGTGGAAAGTTGTCGGCCAGTTTGTCAACCTGGGAAGGTAAGAAGTCTTCACCAGGAAATTTATATATTGCTGATATCTTAAGCTGTGTGGGTTTCTTGGATATCTTTCAAGAATGTCCTTTGCTATCACTGGTTCCGTTAGTCTCCACGCAGAGAGTACCCTCGATCACCTAGCAGTAAATAGGTACCTGTGAGGTCTTAGTTTAACTTAGAGATCTACAACTTTGAAATGAGCAGAAGATACCAGCTCACAGCCTATACCAGGAGTTTACCCGAAGGGAGTTCCGGGGGTCAATGCCCCCCGCGGCCCGGTCCCTGATCAAGCTTTTCAGCAATAACAAACTTACCAGATTTTTTTTCCATTTTCTCATTGGCTAAGTTTTTTTTTATTGCTACTTACCGTTCCCCATTAACTTACCTGTAATAGCGACCAAGGAGCTGCAGCTTGGGTAAGATACTGTTGAGTCGCATTAAAGATGCCTCTCAGTTGAGTTGAAGATGCCTTCAAGAGAGATGCATTGATGCTGGTGACGGGAATCCTGGTCCAAGAAATTAGAGGCATCCCTCTTCTGTCCTTCCTCGGATCAAATCTGATAATCTCCCATTCTCAAGGCACTATGTGCACTTCGCCATGTATAATAATATGGGGGTGCAATATGGATGGTGAATGTTGCAACAAGGAGAAAACTGGATGCAGTGGAGATGTCATGTCTGAGGGCAATGTGTGGTGTGAATATAATGCAGAGAATTCGTAGTTTGGACATTAGGAGGAGGTGCGGGATTACCCAGAGGGCTGAGGAGGGTTGTTGAGGTGGTTCGGGCATATAGAGAGGATGGTACAAAATAAAATGACTTCGAGAGTGTATAAATCTGTAGTGGAGGGAAAGCAGGGTAGAGATCGGCCTAGGAAAGGTTGGAGGGAGGGGGTAAAGGAGGTTTTGTGTGAGAGCGGCTTGGACTTCCAGCAAGCATGCGTAAGAGTGTTAGACAGGAGCGAATTGAGACAAGTGGTTTTTAGGACTTGATGTGCTGTTGGAGTGTAAGGAAGGTAACATTTATGAAGGGATTCAGGGAAACTGGCAGGCCAGACTTAAGTCCTGGAGATGGGAAGTACAGTGCCTGCACTCTGAAGGATTTAGTTTAATATGTTTATTATGCACCCCATACCCATCCTGTGGGCGGTAGTCAAAAGATTACAGAGGTACATAATTGGTCCAGGGACTGGACTCCAAAGTTTAAGGAGGGGTGTTAATGTTGCAGTTTTATAGCTGTAGTGTAAGCGCACCTCTGTCAATACAGTGATGGAGTGGATGATGAAAGTTTTTCTTTTTTGGGCCACCCTACCTTGGTGGGAGACGGCCGATGTGTTAATAAAAAAATATTAAAATATTAATAATAATAATAATAATAATAATAATAATAATAATAAAGTTTTGGCGTCTTTATTGAGATGCTTTCTGTCTTTTGTTTTATGGTTATTGTTGAATTATCAAGATTATCAGATGACTTTGTTAATTATTAGTCAAGTGTGTGTGTGTGTGTGTGTGAGTGTGTGTGTGTGTGTGTGTGTGTGTGTATGTGTGTGTGTGTGTGTGTGTGTGTGTGTGCGTGTGTGTGTGCGTGTGTGTGTGTGTGTGTGTGTTTATGTAGATATTATTATTATTATATTATAATCAAGGGGAAGCGCTAAACCCGTAGGATTATACAGCGCCTGGGGGGGGGATGTGGAAGGCATTCAGGCTTAATTCGGGGAACTGGAGCACAGATCCAATTCCCTAAATCAAGAGCCCCTCACCAACAACAAGGAACCTTCCCTGAGGGGCTTTATGTAGATAGCAAACAAAGAAATATCTGAAATACGACGCAGGTGTTGCCATCTGGGTGTCATTAAGAGCTCAATCACCGTCATTTCCTTCATTTATTAGACTCGTTGATAAAAACAATAAAGTTATAGGAATGAATGAGAAATAAAAGAGCGTACACATAGACACTTTATTATATATATTATCCGATATTCACTCTTTTTTTTAAAACTCTGTTCAATTTCAAAAGATACAAGGAGATATGTCAAGCCAAAACCTAATTAGGGTATGTGGCTGGAGTATACCCAATCAGATCCTGGCTTCGAGGTATGGGTATTGTGATTGGCTAATTCAAGTGGCTGGAGGAGGGGATCGGCCAATGACGAATACTCACACCGTAGTTACAGTTCATATCTGATACACAACCAAAATACATTCATGAATAACTTAGCGAAGGTTACCAAGAATAACACTACCTGAACTATATAATGTGACACACGACACATAGGTAGTGGGAGACGCTACGCTGACCTCGACCAACTTCCGTCATGGTCAACAGATGACCGGGCAACTCAGTTAAATAATTGCCTCATGGGAAACATAATACGGGAACATGTTACTAAATCATACTGTCACAGGAAACATGCTGTAATATGGGAGCATGTCATTAATTCTTACTGTCACAGGAAACATAAAATGGGAGCATGTCAGTAATTCTTACCCTTGCAAGAAACACAATATGGGAATATGTCATTAATTCTTACCTGCACAGAAAACACAATGTGGGAGCATGTCATTAATTTTTACTGTCACAGAAAACGTAATGAGGATAAACTCTGTTAACCTAAAAACATAGTCCATAATGTTTCAAATTTACCGACGGATGTGGTGTATTCTTCAGTGTTGATATGTACACTCGGTAGATACAATGTCATGAGACGTGGCTATCAGGGTGACATTTTGGAGGTCCAGCGGGAGATGTTTCGGAAGAAGATAACGACAGTGTGGTGGTGTTAGTAGCAGTAAGGGCATCCGACGAATCACAGCTACAGGTAGGTAGGGTAGTGTACGCTGAAGGAAGACAATGGCGACAGAGGAGCGAGTCGAGGTGCGGTGCGGTCCCCCAGGATCACCGTGGGCAGAGGGACTTACTTGCCCCATTGTTGGAAGAGGCCCATGCGTTGGCAGCGGCAGTTGGTCCCCCACAGGTTGCAACGGCAAGAGGAGTTGTAGCAGCAGTCGTTGGGTCGGTGATCGCACGTCCCCCCGCGGCGGATGCACGACCTCCTAAAAAGGTAGATGTAGGAAGAACGTCTGAACAGACAATAAGAAAGGAAGAACTGCTGTTTGGTGATGATGACAATGTTGGCGAGTTGGCGACGGTGTGTTGCAAGGAGGAGGAGGAGAAGGAGAAATGTTGCAAGAAAGAAGGAAGGGGAAGTAACAGTACTGCAAGCAAGGTGGAAGGGAGAGTAATAGTGCTGCAAACATGGAAATAGTATTGCTTGGAGGACAAGGATTACTGCAATAAGAAAGAGAAAGGAAGGATAAGAAGTGTTGCAAGCAAGCAAGGAATAGGAAGACTAATTCAGGGAAGGGATACGATGGGGGTTCTGGAAGGAGGAGAAAGAGCGTGGCAAGCAATATACGAGTGCAATGGCGAAGAAGAGGCTTGGAAGACGGACGGAAGAGGATTAAAATAAAATATCAGCAAAGGAAGAGACGGAGGAGTGCAACTGGAGTCCAGGACAAGAGACGGAGATAGTAAGGACAATATATAAAAAGCCATTCTTACGTTAGAGATCAATCTTGCATTAAAAAAATCTACCTGCAATCCAAACTCTAGATGCACTAATCTCATACCTTCAAAGTCTGAAGGAGGAATCGTACCTAGGAAGCCAGAGAGTCTTCAACAAAACTGAATGTCCTACAGGAAGAAATTGGGAAACAAAATATGGATGAAGGCTTGTAGCAGTCAAGTTGCCATGACACAAGAAATCCACTGGATGGGGGGAAAACAAGACAATTGATATTAGAATTAGATCTTGAGATTGCTAAGTAAAGAAAAACGGCATACTAAGACTATACTAGAATGTTAGAATGTTTATATCACTGCTGGAGGTGAAAGCATGCACTTCACTGCACAGCTTATTTCAGACGCAAATCTCAAGAATTTCTCTAAGACACCGTAGATGTAAATTCCAAGAAGTGTCATTGAGAAATAAGTCTTAAGACATCATAGATGTATACAAAAAGACATAATTTTGAGATACAGTATCTTAGAAGCTGCAAGTCTCAAGGACTACTTTGAGATATCTTAGGCAGGCAACTGACGATACTACTGATGCGTGCGTGAGAATGAAACTTAATAGTTATAGCTCAAAACAAATGCTATTAAATTATATAAATTATTTGTATCTATAATTATGTAAATTATCTTATTTCTATGTAATCTAAATGATTTACAATTTATTCAGTATATAAGGGTAATTTCTAAAGATGAGAACTAATAACTTTAATTAATGTAGCTAATAATAATGCATGTTACATGCACATGGATAACCTCAGGAGACCTTCATGCAATTCTGAAATATATATAATTATATATATATATATATATATATATATATATATTATATATATATATATATATATTATATATATATATATATATCGTG